CTTGCCAATGGGAATCACTTCGGCGACAGAGACAAAAATTATACATTTTGGAAGGACTACAGGGAGTAGTCAATGTAGAAAATGACACATTAGTATTTAGTAAGAACAAGAATGAACACGACTCTCGTTTGAAGGCCGTGCTAACAAGTTTCCAAAAAAAAAAAATATAAAACTAAATAGAAACAAATGCGAATTTAGCAAGAAAAAAGTGATATTTCTAGGCCATAGCGTTTCAGATTCAGGAATTGAAATCGATGATTAGAAATTTGAGCCATTTTAGACATGCAACCCCCCAACGATATAAGCGGAGTTAGAAGACTAATAGGCTGCATACAGGTTAACACTAAATTCCTTCCAGGATTAGCGGAAATGTCCGACCCCATAAAACAACTGTTACGAAAGTACAACGAATTTCTGTGGGCAGAGCCGCAACAACGAGCATTTGAAAGCATGAAAAAAGCTCTTACGGCTGCTCCAATTTTAGCACATTTTGCTCCAGGACGTTGAACAAGAGTCATAGCGGACGCCAGTTCATATGGATTGGAACAAATGGATAAAGATGTCTGGAAACCTATCGGCTATGCATCCAGGACAATGTACGACACAGAGAAATGATATGCGCAGATAGAGCGAGAAACATTGTCTTTGACTTGGGCCAGCAAAAAATTCGCCCAATACCTTCTTGGTCAAACATTTATGCTCCTGACTGACCACAAACCTCTGGTGGAACTTCTAGGAAGCAAAAAATTAGCTAATCTATCAGCTAGAATTCAGAGATTCCGAATGAGATTGATGCGATTTTCGTATGATGTACTGTACATTCTTGGCAGAAATATGATAATGCCTGACGTATCATCCAAAGCTCCACTAAAATCCAGTGATCATGGAGCAGATATTTTATTCGTCAATGAACTCATAGAAAAGTGGAAGATTTTGCAAATCATATTCGTGAATCAATGCCTATCAAGGACATGCGCATAAAAAGTATTGTCACGGTTTTGGATTGCCTGACAGAAATCTTGGGTTCGTTTCGTTTATTCCAAAAATCAAAGTCTAATTAACACAGCAATAATTTATTCCACGTAACAATACACTCTGACACTAATTACTTTAATAACTAACTCAACAATTAAACTCTTTACAATAATCACTATTTAAATCGTATCACAGTCGAACTGAAATTTAAACTACAAAGCAATAGCGGCCTTTATATATCCCTAAATCTATTCCTGTAAAATCTAGAATACACACGTTGATCTTATTTTCCCGTTTAAAGTAGAATAATTCGCTAGATTCTAGGATATTCTATAGCAGATGCATACGATTCTTGACAGCCTGGCGGACACCTATTCTGGCGGCAGCGTTATCGTAACAGTAACTTGAAATGTCAGAAGAATGATGTCCAAACCAAAAGAATAATAACTTATATATAAAATGGTTGGCCACACATTAGGGATTTACCAACCGAAGATAAAATTTTCCACCAATATCAAGGAGAGATGGTTTTATCGGATAGCTTAGTAACGCGCAACAACAGAGTATTTATCTCGACGACATTACGCAAGGAAATATTGGACAAAATACCCGAGGGTCATTTGGGCATGACGAAATGTTTAAGCCTAGCCAATGAAACGGTGTGGTGGCCCAAAATCTCAAAACTAATAAAAGAAATTGTAACCAATTGCTTAACATGCATTCAATAAAAAAACCAATGATTCCTTCCCTTGTGCCAGATTACCCCTGGCAGATCGTCGGAGTTGGTTTATTCGTGGCCAACGACAAACATTATCTAGCGGCAGTCGATTATTTCTCAAGATCTATAGAGGTTGCCAACTTAAATTCAGAAACTGCTGTAGATGTCATAACGAAACTGAAACCAATGTTGTCAAGATGGGGAATACCAGAGACCATTAGATCAGATAATGGGCCTTGTTTTTCTAGCCACATATTCAAACAATTTGCTCAGACATATGGATTCAGTCACATCACAAGCAGTCTTAGGTATCCTCAATCAAATGGGCAGGCGGAATCCGCTGTAAAAAATGCCAAAAAGAATATAATTCTAAAATGCAAAGACCCAAACTTAGGACTGTTAAGCTATGGAACAGCAAAAGTAAAGAGTGGATTTTCACCAGCAGAACTGATCATGGGAAGAAAACCGAGGACAGATTTATGAAACTGCATAAACCACTTCAAGGAAGTCAGAAGCAACGAGAAAGAAGTTCAAACATTGAATTTTAATAAACGACATAGAGAAAGATCAAATTCTACCTTGAAAAATAACGATAAAGTTTGGATACCCGATATGAAAATGTTTGGGAAAGTAATGGATGTTGGACCTGAACCTAGAACATACATTATCGCCGCAGAAAATAACGTCATCAGGCGAAACAGAAGCCAAGCTATAGAAGTAACCTCAGAAGCGATAATGAGACTAGAGCAAGGGACAGATACTCGACTAGAGATGTCCAATTGGGAACTCCCCGAAAGTTGCAATGATGAGTCAAGCTCAGAATCAGAGGGTGACGATGGAGGGGATGATACGATCACAGAATACGGTTCACCCGCATCACAAAGCAGTGGACCAGAAATTGAAGGCAATAGCTGCGAAAGTGACAACGACTCCAACCACTCCATAATATCGAGCCAGGCTCCGAAGAGAAAACTGGAGTCTATAACTCCACTCACCAGAGATACACCACCAGATCAAGAAGACTAGTCAAGCCGGCACGTCGTTGCACTTGCAATGGAATGTGTGGTGAAGATTAGTTACAACAAAAGTGAGAATGAACATTGTACAGTGTATATAGTGAATTACTGTGTAGTTTTATCCATAACATCAATATACCCAATGTAAATAGGACAAACAATGGTTTAAGGCTAGTCGCGTTCAATTCGACTCGAGTGCTTAGTTAAAAATACACTCACTTGGTGAAGAGGAAGGATATGGCATAGAGTACTTGAGCCGGCAACGCCGCTCGAGAGTCGGGATAGCAGCCCTCGGCGCAGGGCCCAGCAGATGATATCAGAGCCGCTTTCCAGTATGGGAGTTTGACGCCCGGAGCTACTCGGGGCGTTGAGCCTCCGAGCTGTACGTACGCGTCAACCTGTCAGCTGTCACATCCGTGGGTGGCTATTTATTTATTTATTTCTTGTTATATCTCAAGATTGAACATTTTAAAAAATATAGTTTTGATTATCTTTCATTTATGATAAATAAAAAAACAAACTGCACAAACAAACGGATAATTAGTTTTAAAATTTGACATATTTGACACTAAGACGGGCGTCTCACGTCATGATACTCGAACGGTACAAATCTAGTGCGTGGCGCCCCCGAGGTGCTCTGGAGCGCGCCAGAGCGCGCCAATGTGCATACTGAAAAGCGGCTCAGGTAAGCGTACCACAGGCTGCTACACATACAGGGCCGCAACTAGAACCCTCGGCGCCCAAGGCAAGTCCAAATTTTGTCGCCCCTTCACCGCCTTCTCAAAAGTAACAATAGATATATTTTTTGATGCTTTGGCTCTCCACTGGCCTTCCTAGCTCGTGCCAAAAAATGCGCACTGAGTGCATACATAATTGCACTGGATTTCAAATGGAAAATAAAAACTGATAATGTGGAGTCAGATGGAAAGACCGCTAGAACTGGTTCAGAAACGGTTCCGAACCGATTCTGGTTGATCCGCGAATCCAGAACCGTAACTAAAAGTTCGGAATTTTGTGATACGCGAACGCCATTACTTGAACTGCGCATGCGAAATAGTTTCGAACCAGTTCAGAATCTTTACCGCGAATGAAGCTATTGTAAAAGTAAAAGCTGTTTACGGAAACTATGATCGGGTTAACCCGACCGCCAGCAGAAGTATTTTGCCTTTTTCAATCGTATTCATTAGGGAAAGATAGAAAACATTCTAATATCTAGGTAACGAATGTTGGGCGCTACGTCATCAATACTTGAATTTATCACAGACATTGCAATTTGCTGCTGCCTTTTGCACGCGCACTGTGTTTGACATAATTCATATGATTACTATCAATATTCGTATTTTTGATGGTTGACAAAGAGAGATGTAACACAAGAAAAATAAATTTTCCTGCTACGACAAATGACGCGTAAATCCGTGGCATTTTTTTGAATTGTAAAATATGGATGGATTAAATTAGGCGCCTTCGGCGCCCTTATACTCCGGCGCCCTAGGCGGGCGCCTAGTTCGCCACCCCCTAGTTGCGACCCTGTACACATAGCAGTTGGAAGCAGGTCAATTCTAGTTTTTTCGGATAGAACATGAACCCTCAATCCTACATCGATAACGTATTACAACCTGTCGCGTTGCCCCACATTCAGCAACTGCAAGATTCAATTTTTCAACAAGACAATAGAAACTTCCTTCAACAAGCTAATGTAACCGTTTTTCCATGGCCCGCAAATTCACCAGACTTATCGCCTAAACATGTCTGGGATGTGATAGGTAGAAGGCTGTGGCAGTTACCACATTTTCTACTGGATGTACAACGTCTACGTCATGAGGTAAGATTAGTCTGGGAGAACCTACCACAGGCAGATATCGATCATCTGATTCGCCGCATGCCACGAAAAGTTACAGAATGTCAATACTTACGTGGAGGTGCAACTCACTATTGAATTTTTAAGAATTCCTTTCAATAAATTTGCTTGAAAATGTCATCGTTTTTTATTCATATTTATCCGAAATATTAATAAAATATATTCACATTTACTGGGTGTTGCAATTTCTATGTCACACAGTTTACTTATCTAAAACTATTATTGCAACTATAAAATAGTTAAATAACATTTTTTTAACTTGAAATTCCAGATCGCGAAATGCTTGTGTCAGTGTTAAGGACTAAACAGGATTATTGTGCCCTTAGTGTAACTTATCGGACAGTTAAGTTAAAAATTTGTTATTTTACTATGTAAAGACATTCAATATCAAGTAGTTATTTTATATACCTGACCCTGAACTATTTTCTTCCAGGTAGAGATGAATCAAGGGGTCATAAAATACAAGAAAAAAAAATATTTATATTATCTGTCCTAATTATGGCGAAACTCATAAAAATATTGCTGCTAGTTAACATGATATTCTACGTTTTGCTATTTATTAAGAAGATAATATTGGTCACAGCAATAGTATTTCCATCAGTTCTCAGTCATATTAAGCAAGCTTGTCAGCAACATCACCATCATTCCACTGCTGTGATAGCTGAAGAAGCTCCAGCTCACTCAGTTTCAAATTCATGGTTTGGGTAAGGATTTGGTGACTCTATTTTGCATAATTATATTTGTTGCTTAGATTTTTATATTTTTTGACTTATTTTCCAGATGGCGGCAAGACGGCCAAGACAAACGATATTGGTGAAGAACAATCAAAGACTCAAAATATTTTTAACTACATACATATTTATTTTCTTTGTTAAAAATTTAGAAATACATTTCATTAATCTAATTTAGGTTGTTTTTTTTTTTTATTTCTTTTTGTGATTTACAAAATTATTGGTAAGTGAAAATTATCATTTTACAGTTAACATTTTTCGAGCTACTTTGTTGCACCTTAAATTAACGCGTAAGCTGAAACTCTCTAGGGAATGAATACTATTGTGATATTTCCAAAAATAATAAAAAATATAAAATTTTAATTGACGAACAAGTGCAATAATTAGATGTCATTTATATTTGTACAACATAATCTTATCTAATAAATAACTGTATTGTTCGAAATCTAAAAATAATGTTCAATCATAATAATGATTTATAATTATTAATTCTATCAACTTTCATCACCTAAGTAATTATATTTGCCCAAACATACCAATATTAGTTTATTGAATTAAATTCCAGCAACAAATTGTTGTACAAAATTTAATGAACAAATTCAAATCAAATTAATTGAATATTAATTTTTAAATTATTATTAGTTTTTTTTTTGTAATATTAATTATTGTTATCTATATGTTTTAGATATCGAACAGAGACAGTTCTCCAGCCCCAGAATCAATGTAACAGCCTCAGTTATGCCCTTTTCGAATTTGCTAATTGTTAAAACTAGAAGAGTCAATAATAATTCTACGGCTTTATCGAATGACGAAAAAGATGGGCTTCAAACTGTAATGCCTGTAGCAACTTTGGCCAATTTTTATATATTTGGGTCAGCCATTTTGTCTTTCATGATCGTTTATTCGATGATGATGTCACTAGAATCATGAATACTCTTAGGTTAGTCTCCAATACCTATTTATAAAATGTATACCTACAAAGTTTTATTATTTTTGTTTTAAGGTGAAGTTGCAGAACCAGCAGACAAAAAACATCACCACCACCACCACCACAAAGTATCAAAAAGTGACAGGAAACTCCTCTGGTGGACCATACCGATAGTCCTTTTCATCAAGCTTTATTTTGTTAAAGTGGCTCTACACGTCATACTTTTTGGTGCAGTCGTTCTAAAAATGCTAGTTTTCAAAGGTGCTCTATGGCTACCTTATTTGGCATATGAAGTAAAGAGAGTTTGTCTAAAAGAAGGAATTTTGAAAGAAGTTTGGAATGGTTTGTGGCACAAAAGACTGGATAATGATCAGGGTTTGGAGTATTATCCCGGAAAAGAGATATCACAAGATTTAGGGAGCTACTATCCAACTTCACCTTCGGAAGGGCCGTATAATGTCAGCTGGATTCCTGCAGAATAATGCTGACTATGTTATGTTGATATTGGATATGTTTCACCAGTGTTCCAGCAGAATCAACTAAAAAATTAATCAAAATTTAAAAGTTTGCATATTCTTCACATAATATGACGTACTTACTTGACTATGATTTCATTAAGAATATTTATTGTTGAAACGTACCAAATATATGTAAATTATGAGTATGCTGGTTTTGAAATTACATTTATTTAAATGAAGTTTCGTTTTTTATTACCTGGTAGATGCAGCTCGCTAAGAGGAGATGCGCTCGAATTGGATCTCTTTTCCGCTAAGAGAAACCTTGGCGCTGTAATTTTCATGAAAAAAATCTGAAACGAATGTGAGTGGCTTAAGAACCGTTAAAACAATGTGAATTTCTAATATTCGCGCTTATTGTCAATATAGAATGAGCGCCTAAACACCAAAAGTGCTCAAAACATCAATCAAAACCAAACAAAGCTCAATGTCTACTCTCTTGGCGGCGCTCGAAAGGTTGATTCTACGAGTACATGAGACAACTTCATTAACTTCTAATTATAGATACAAGGTTTACTGAGTTTCATTCGTCCGAGCAAGAGTTTTGCAAACCTGTTAACCCTTCGTCATTACCAAGCTGAAAGTTTTATGAGATCTTCAGAAGCTCTCTCGATACGAAAATGGAGTGCTTTCTAAAACAAGCTGTTGTTATATACAGGGTGGGGCACGAAAAACTTTCCACCCAGAGTTTCTCAGGTGTTAGGTGTTTAATCAAAAATCGCTCAGACACGTCAATTTTTGTTTTTTGGGGGACACATTTTATTGGTATTTTCACCCTCTACCTGTCAATCCCTAAGTGGGGGTAACAGGTACCCCCACAATTTTAAATGGAAAGAGGGGTCCAGTGATCTCTCATTTAGTAGCTATTTTCATTAAGATTATATCCCCGAAGTTTTAAGTTGCTACTATTTACCCTGCCGAAATGGCGGCATGTCAAAGTTAGAATAAATTGTATCTAAACTGTATAGTTTTCATCTGTCTCACCTATGTGTAGGTAACAGGTAAAAATCACACAGCATTTTTCCATTGATTTTTCTTTACTTTGACAAGCCGCCATTTCGACAGGGTAAATAGTAGCAACTTAAAACTTCGGGGATATAATCTTAATGAAAATAGCTATCAAATGACGTATCACTCGACCCCCCTTCCATTTGAAATTTTGGGGGTACCTGTCACCCTCACTTACGGGTTGACAGGTAGGGAGTGAAAATACCAATGAAATGTGTCCCTCAAAAAACAAAAATTGACGGGTTCGAGCGATTTTTAATTATTCACCTAACACCTGAGAAACTCTGGGTGGAAAGTTTTTCGTGCCCCACCCTGTATTATATTATATGTATAGGTACCTTTCTGGTATGCCTTATTGGTATTGTCATTGTATTGTCAATTTGTCAAGTCGATAAAAAAAGTAATTTGGATTCTACTGAATTGATTGCTAGAAAGTGAAATAAGGCAATATTTAACATTGGCGCAGTCGGTACTAGAATCTAAATACATAATGCCTTTGGGAAATTTGGAAAACTTTGATCCAGAAAGTGATTCATGGATTAATTACAAGGAAAGACTAAATTTCTATGTTCAAGCAAATGAAATTAAGGATCCTGACAACAAGAAAGCTTTGTTTGTGAGTGTTACTGGAAAATCATTATACGAAGTAATTAACAAATTGATATTCCCCTCTAATGTGACAGGAAAATCATTAGAAGAAATTTTTGACTCACTTGATTTTCACTTTGAACCAAATGAAATGAATTATGTGCCCTACAATTATTTTAGTCTAGAAATCCAATTAAAGAATTAAAAGGTTTGGCTAGTTCCTGGGGCTCCATTAATGATCAGATTCCTTTAGATATAATGCTTCGAGATAGATTTATTTGGGGTGTTTTCGATAATCAATTACAAAAAGATATAATTGCTACCCCAAATAAACTGGGGAGATCCGGCTGTGATGGCATATATTTTTTTAACAGCTGATAATTTAAAAACGGTTAAAGATGAAATTTTGGTACAAAGACATAGTTATAGAGCCTTACTTTATCATTTATTTGTAGTCCAAATAAATCCCCAAGCTATGAACTTGAACTGTAAAAACAAGATTTTGTCTTTTTGCTTCAGTGTTCCATCATACCCAGACCTTCAGGTATGATGGCCTAGTCGTCAGTCTATGATGGCATAGTGTGTCTTCGTCTCTTAGATATTTTACTAGTTTTAAAAATATCAAATATATTTATTTAAGAAATGAAAAAAACATTCTAACAGCCTATAAAGGAATGTTTTTCTAATAGGAATATAAATAACCAAAAACATATTCACTTAGAAACATGACGAAAACATAAATATCTTGGCGTTGATACGTAAAAAAATAACGCAAACAACATAAAAACGTGAAGATCTAAATACATAGTTCGCAAATGAAAGATTTGCTTTTGGGGCTGACCCCAGCACATTCAGTGTGAGTCCACTTCTTGCAACTTTGACATCGAATCCAAAGTGAGTATAGGGAATTGCAATAAATGCGAGAAAACTCGTCGTCAACATCAGATTCTAGGATATTATTAGAAATGCCTTCTTCATCACTGTCCGACGGTAATTTAACTTTTCTTTTGACTTTTCTTGCTGACTTTCTTCGTTCTTTTTCTCTCATTTTTCTTTTTCTCAAAGAGCTGCAACTTCTGGAGTTGAATTTAAGATTCCTTGGGAGCCTTTTTTGACTTTTCGTCTCTTGAACATATTTTCTTTTCCCACCTGGGGCTTAGGAGATAATTCATTAATAAATTTCTTGGATAAGTCGCTTAAAGAAATGTTCTTATCATTCAAAACAGTGGCCTCAGAAGATCCTGAGCAACCGGGTTCATTGTATGGAGGTTCGTCTTCATTTGGAGGTTGGCTTCATGGGATCTTCATTGGGAGGTCCGTCTTCATTGGGAGGTCCGTCTTCATTGGGAGGTCGGCCTTCATTTGGAGGCCGGTTTTTATTGGGAGATTGGTCTTCAATGGGAGGTTGTTTTTCATTGGGAGGTTGCTCTTCATTTCCAGCTAAAGCCTCATCAATAATTGGGAAATTTGTGGTTTCCGCCGGTTCAAACATCCACATGGGGAAAATGTCATTATTGAAAGGACATATTCCTGTTTTTGAAAAACCACTGTCCTTGAGCATTGGATACACTAGCTGCCTTTGAGTAAGCATCATTAAATAATTCTCCGACTTGATAATGGGTAATTGCACGTCCTGGATGAGTTGATAACCATCTTCGCACTGCCTGGTTATAATAAGTTCTCAGAGGCCCATCCACTGCTGTATCTAAAGGCTGCACTCTGTGAGTCCAGTGTGGTGGAAAGCAAAACAAAATAATATTGTTAGCTTTTGCGTACTCCAGCACTGCTAATTGCTTGTGGCTATCATGTTCATCCAATAGAATCAGAATTTTGTTATCAGGACTGGGATTGGCATACTTCCCGAAATGCTTGAGCCATAATAAAAAGCAAATCCTACAGAACTTGTCGGAGCCTTGTCTAGTAATTCCGTTTTCATGTTTCTCCTTGGAAAAATAGGCGCCGGCGGTATGAAATTTCCTATAGCATTCATGCAGTACACTATAGTAAAATGTTGACCTCTTTCTGCAGCTGTCAACCTGCCGACTTGTTTTCGACCCTTTGTTGCCAATATCTTTTCCATTTTAGATTGAACGGTAGAAAGCCCAGACTCGTCTACGTTGCAGATCTGAGATGGAGAAAACTTGAACTCGTTTAGAACTTGTTCAAGTCTGTTAAAGTAGCCGGTGATTTGCACTTTATTGAAAGCCTGGGCTCTTGCCAACGACGTTGCTTCCGGAGTTCTTACACTTATAGACGGACTCGCTTCAAAAATTCCTGCAACAAGTCCCATCCTGCCATTTTACTTTCTTCATTGTTTGTGCTTTAAACTCAGTTTTGTAGCCAATTGATAAGCAAGTTTTCTTAGATCCAAGGAAGTCAGCCCAAAAAAAACGAGTTTCTAGAGCTTTAATATGACCAACTAGCTCGGCTTCGATCTCTCTCGAAAATACAGGTACAGAGCCTCCCAAAAAACCGATGTTACTGCCTTGAAGTACTTAATTTTTGTTTTGCACCCGCCTTTTTAGCGTACTTTTTGGGACCCGAAATGTTTTTGCAGCTTTTAGCGAACCCATTTGTTTCGACACTACTGCTTCAATGGCATGCTGCATATCAATTTGGGATCATGTTTGACGCTGTCCTTGTCTTTGCCCTTCAGGAAAATCCATAACTTGAAACTTTTATCTGAAAAAAACAAGAATAAATTGAAAAAATAATGTTCCGTTCATGATGGCACAGTATGTCATCGTATCAGTTGGTATCAGGTATGAGTACAAATATTTTAACATGAGATAATATGGCCCATTTCAAGCTAAAACTGTCCTATTAACCATGGGTCAATTGTTAATATTTTCGAAGTTACCGCAGAATTTAAATTTAGAAAAATGTTAACAACGTGACAACATTGCAGCAGGTATTATCTCTGCTAGGATATAAATGTAAATAAAACTGGTAAATTAAAAGTTTTTTTTGCACGGAGTTTATTTATTTCCATCTGTGTTTTGGTTTGTTATTGGTTTTCAAATAATGTAAATAATAACTTGCATTTTTATCACTTTTCTAGTATGTAAAAATAAAAAATGTGCCGTTCTATTAAGCTATGAATTGTACTCAATGACATTTTTGCACCAAACATTCAAGAGAAAAATCAAATAATACTTACTCAGCTGTTAAAAGGTTCTCAAAACACTAAAATCAACACGCAGATTTTGTACACTCACACTTCTTGTATCACGCAATCTTTGTAAAACGGGCACAATGTTCTTTCATCCGGTGGGTGCTTTTCTCTTGGGAAATCTTTCTCTGGTTTCCCTGTAAATTCTGGCAGCTAAATGAGCATTTTGTAACGATTCTGCCTAAACAAGTATCTGCATATTCCACGTTTGTATAAACATTTTATTAAAAAAAAAAAGGAATTTGAATTACGCGGGTTTCCCAGCTAGACACGACAAATCAAGAATCAATTTATTCAGTTCAACCCAGTGGTTCAACCAAGGTTCAATGTCAACCACCTATTCTTCATTGTGTTATGTTGCCAAATGTTTAGAAACCGATTTCAAGTAAAATTTTTATGTTGTTTTTTCATTTTTTTGTTATTGTTGTTGACTAATAATGCATAATTACTTAATAATTGAATAAACTAAATTTATTTACATGTCATAATGATTAAAATTTTCTTCATCTTTGAAATATTTGTCAAAAAACGTGAAAACTTCAAAGGCCTTTTTCTTAAAAATGGTTGAGTTTGGACCCTATGTTGTAGGTATAAGCTTTTTTTGTTCCAAATGGCATATGGCATATTTTCACGTGTTAAAATTTTTGTAGTCAAACCTGATACACCCTGTACATACTGTGCCATCATATCCAAATCTACATGCTTAAACAAACCACACCACACACAAAAATTTAGCAAACCCAAGGCTTGCAGGCACAGGCCAATTTGAGGTTAGGATACCACTTTACCTGTTTATCACGAAAACTTTGAATTTTCTCACTGCTAGAACAAGTGATAGGATACTTACTTAGATACCCCAACATATTTTTTTCAATCACTAATAAATAAGTTTTTTGGTTTATCTCCGAAAAACAGTGGCAATGACACGAGCCTGTTAAACATTGTATGGGAACTAACCAAATGAATTGTTGGTTGCCTATTACGCTATTCCTAGCTTCATAAAATTGGAGAAAATGCCAGTGTGCCTGTGCCATCATAGCCAGTGTGCCATCACAGCCGGATTTCCCTATCACTTCTCAAACAGCATATAATAAAGCAGTGACCAAAGAACAATCACAAACACAATTAAAGAAGTTAAAAAACGTACAATCTTTATCTGAGATCAATAAAATTAAAAATGCTAATAAAATTAATCCAGGAATGAAACTTATGCAAAGAAAATGTTTTCGTTGTGATGCTTCTAATCATATCGCTCCAATGCTTCCAAACTGAAAGATAACTTCAGTCCTGTTTTTCTAAAAGCGAGATCTATTCCTTTTGCGTATCGTAAAAGAGTTGAAGAAGAATTAGACAAATCAGAAAAACAAGGCGTTTTGTTGCCAATAGAGTATTCTGAATAGGCGACACCATTGGTGGTTGTTCCAAAACCGGATAATAAACTTCGAATTTGTGGTGATTATCGCAGTACTGTAAATAAAAATGCAAAAAATAATGTCTACCCTTTGCCAACGATTAAGGAAATGCGTACTATATTATCTGGAGGAGTTTATTTTACAAAATTAGATTTACAAGCCTATCAACAATTGACAGTTGATGAAGATACTGCTATGATTATGACACTTAACACTCCAAAAGGTTTATTCAAGGTTAACGGTTAACAGATTACAATTTGGTATTGCTGCAGCTCCTGCCATATTTCAAAGAACTATGAACATGTTATTACAAAATATGGAAGGATTTCAAGCATATCTTGATGACATAATCATAGTTGGAAAAACCATTCCTGAACATAATTAAGGACTCGAAAAAGTTTTGTTCCGCATAACTGAATTAGGAATTACTTTGAACAAAGAAAAATGTAAGCTTTTACAAACAGAAATTGAATATTTGGGTTTTAGATTTGATAAATTGGGAATGCATCCTGCAGCGACCAAAATTAGAGCTATAAGTGCTGCACCTGCTTCTAAAACGAAAGAAGAATTGCAAGCATTTCTTGGTCTCCTTTCATTTTATGATTGTTTTCTTGAAAATAGATCTACAGTTGCTGAACCACTTTATCAATTATAAAAAACAAAATCAGTATTCAATTGGTTACCTGTCCATCAAGCAGCGTTGGAGAAACTCAAAAAGATGTTAACTTCAGATTCATTGTTAGTAAATTTGAATCCTGTTTTACCGTTGGTCCTTGCTGGAGATGCAAGTCATGTAGGAGTAGGAGCTGTGTTATCTCACATTATTGATGGTAAGGAAATGCCAATTGCTTTTGCATCAAAAACTTTGAATAGTACTGAAAAGAATTTCGCTCAAATAGACAAAGAAGGACTTGCAATTGTTTTTGGAGTAAAAACATTCAATGAATACTTGTCTGGTAGATCTTTTACTATTTATACTATATCAAACCATTGTTGGGAATTTTTGATACTAAAAAAGCTATTCCGTCAATTTTGTCTCCTAGACTTTTGCGTTGGACACTCATTTTGTCAATGTATGAATATTCGATTAAATATAGACGAGAAAAAGTTAATTCTAATGCAGATGCCCTTAGCCGCCGCCTACCACTATTCTCAAATGATGTTACTCCAACTCCATTAGATGTTTTACTTTTTGAAAGTATGAAAAAACCTCCGGTTTCAGCAGAAAAAATTGCATCTCATATCCAAGAGGATCCGATTTTATCCACTGGTTAATAAATGGTTGGCCTAGTAACATTCC